ATCATCACTTTTGGATACTGGGAAACAGAGTCTACAAAATACATTCAACTTTTTCCCTCTGCATTCTTAGTCCTTAGTTTTATCAGAAACATCAACCTTTCTGCTTTTCCATTCAATTAGATTTTTTTTTTTTAGTCCAGTGATTCTCAAACTTTTCTTTTACATAGGTACCATTATAACAAATTCAAACATTCCAGGAACTTGCAATGACATAATTTATAATTTTAGAATCCTCTGATTAAGAAAATACATATGAACAGAGGAATTTAAGGACCCCCTGAAACAAATCCACAGCCCCTCAGGGTCTAAGGCTTATTGGTTAGGAACCATACCTTTAATCAAAAATGAATATATTTAGATTATAATGTAATTCAAGTGCTTTTTTAAAAACCTTGTGGGTTATAGTTCTTTCAGCTTCTCTTACCTCGCCCATGACTGCTATGGGTGTTTCTCCTGTTGCCTGAGCAACACGATGTTCCACTAAGTAGAACATATACTCGTCGTAGAGTAGACGGATCAGGTGGAAGGAGCCAAAGCTAGCAGCACTGCGTAAGGTTAAGTCTCGAATAACCATTGAGCTGTTCCAAGAGAAAAGACAGATGGAGCCAATATTAGTGACGAGGATTAGAGTTCAACCTACTTTTTCTCTTAAAAGAAGTTGGAGGTCTGAAAGATTGGTATGGCACACAACCTGTCATGCAATAATTTCATGATTAAAAGCAGTTGGCTCAACTCTTTGAAGCAGGGTGGTTAAGGAGGTAATCCTCACTGACACTTGCTTAGGTCTTTAGTAGAGCTAGACAGGTTTTTATGGGAAAAGCCATTTTACTATCATAGGCAAGTCTGATGATTCCACTAAACTTTCATATGGGTCAGAATTGAACATAAAATCGTTTTGAAAAGTTGACAACTCACAACCACCATAAGAAAAAGCAACTCAAAGTGAAAATCTTATTGATGGGTAAACATTGTGTTTCCACCTCTGAATGACAGTGGCTTTGATGTACGCTTTGAGAAAAGATGTACTTATGCCAAACAAAGGTTACGAAACTTAAGCAATGTTCCAGATGTGGCAAAGTAGAATGTAGATGATCTATACACTGATCTGTGCAAATTGGGGTGGAAGGCAAATTTATTGTGATTCCAGTTTCTTACTGATTTCCACTTAAATTAAGGTGATTTTTCCATGAGAAGTGTAATAAAATCAATGGAGAAACTCATGACTATGAGAAATGTGAACTTGTAATTTATAAAATATAAAACCAAAATATGAACAATATTAATAAAACTAGAGGCCCGATGCATGAAATTTGTGCAAGAGTAGGCCTTCTTCCCCTGGCTGCTGGCACTGGCTTCCCTTTGGCACCCGGGACCCAGGACCTGGGCTTCCCTCGCAGCCCTGGCTTCATCTGGAAGGTTGTCAGGAAGGATGTCAGGTCTAATTAGCATATTATGCTTTTATTAATAGATACTAACAATAAACTTGATATTTAAATTGTAAATGAGTTTAAGATAAGCCAGTCATTGGCTTGTCCATGCACTTCAAACTTCTTTAATATTTCTAATTAGAGTCAGGGTGGAGTATGTGTGGGGTGTCGTGGTGTGTGTGTATGTGTGTGTTTACTGATTTTAGAGAAAGGAAGGGACAGAGGGAGGGAGAGAAAGAGACAGAGAGATATAGACAGACAGAGAGATAGACTGGTTGCTTTCAGTATGTGCCCCGACAGGGGATCAAACCCTCAACCAGTTCGATTTCCCGTCAGGTATGTGCCCTGACGGGAAATTGAACTGGCAACCTTCTTTTGGTGAAGAGGACGATGCTCCAATCAACTGAGCCACCCAGTCAGGGCAATACCTAGCTATCTTTTAAACAATACTGATAAACATGCCATGAAATTATTGTCACATGTTTAGAACAGAATCAGTTGAGTTATATTATTAATGCCATGTCTACTTTATTCTCTCTGTGTTCGGCCTCTGCCCTACAAATCAAGTATTAAATGACAGAATTAACAGTTTAATTAGAAACCTATTGTTTGATTCAGACTTCTATAAGACATGTTGCAAAATTGATTCCACTGAACTTCATGTTGCTAAGTTACCACAAATTCAACTCATTTTAAAATCATTAATAAATGTTAATTATTTTATAATGGCGAGAGATACCTTTGTGTATTTATCTTTATAATTCATGGTGTGGAAATGGAAACATTTACTCTAACATGTGATACTCAATCCACCTCTTTGTGTATTTGGGGATATAACACACCCTTCCTAAGAAGAACGGTGAGAACATCACACCTGTGACTCCCCTGGGAACGCTCTTTTCTTCTAAACATTTTATTTTTACGGATTTTATAGAGAGAGATGAAGGGAGAAAGGTGAGAAGGGAGGGAGGAAGGGAGAGATGGATGAAGGGAACTGGGTGGGGGGGAGAGATAGAGGGGGAAATAAAGAGAAACATCCATTTGTTGTTACGCTTTTTAATGCATTCATTGGTTGCTTCTTGTATGTGCCCTGACCGGGGCTCAAACCCACAACCTTGGTATATCAGGATGACCCTCTAACAAACTGAGCTACCTAGCCAGGGCCTGGACTGTCTTTTCAACAGTGATTACAGTTGATTCCAAGAGTGCTACTTTATGGAAGATTTATATATTGTCCAGTTGTAGTAAAACTAGGTTCCCTGTGCCCCCTTTCAAATCACTATAAAAGCTATACATTTAATTCCTTAAAAATGGGATATTTGGTTATCCTGAGTAATGCTGTGTTCTGTTATCCACAAAACACACAAGCTGAGAAATGGCCCACATAACTTCTCCATTTCTGCCCAAGAAAGACGGTGATTATTTTTTCTCCACCTCCCAGGGAGCTAACAGTAGCCATTTAAAGCCAGGTTAGGCAAGGAGAGATCCCCTATCCAGAAGAGAGGGCGTTTGCAGCCATTCATCAACTGCCAGCTGATATGATGATTGCCTGCCAGTCCATTTCTATATTCGTATGCATGTAAATAGACACACAGAATTTTAGAAATTGTAAGATTAACTGGCTTCAGAAATTGAGTCTGTATAAGTGACTGCCAAATTCTTATTACAATGCCAAAATCTTAAAAAAAATACCTGCAATTCTGTTTCTCTGATAGTTTGTGAATGCAGTGTTCATTACTCAATATGTTCTAATGCCTTACTAAAAAGCAGTTCAGATTCTAAAGGCTTTTAGGTTTTTAAGCTATTGACTTTGTCTACAAGCAGGAGGTATGCATCTGTCAGAATATGCCTTCCCTTCTGCGGCCTTGCACTGTACGCCTTCAAGTCTTTTTGAAATGAAAATAATAACCGTAATAGTGCCTAATAATAACAAGCCAATTATCCCCAACTCAGGGAGGACAGAGGGCAGGCAAGTGATGATCTGGGTTTGTGTATCTGTGAGAACAAAAATACAAGTAAGTAATTTTCTCTTTTCAACATACCTGCAACACATCTCTGTGGAGACAAAGGCTCCAGGGGTATACTTCTAAAATGCTATCAACTAAATATAGTAAAAATAAAAACCTCCAGGAAGAAGTAAGGGCAGGCCTGACTCATCATCAGAAAGCAGTGAAAGGGGGGGGGGAACCTTGCTTTTTCTGATATAGAGGATGTACTCTGCTTTTGGTCATTTGGGTTTTGGAATAATCAGCTCGTAGAGCTTCTGTTTCATCATTCATGAAGCACATATAGCATCTATTTAATTTTCTGGAGAAAAATGGATGAATAACAAATCAACTTGCAAGAAAATAGGAAAATACATGAAATCTTAAGAAATATTCCCAAATTAAAAATTTGATTTCTAAATTACTGCTGCTTTGAGAACACTGTGACGCTGTTTTCTAAATCCTCCCCATATATCCAGAGGAGATTCTAAATCGAGCATAGGCTTATCTGAAGCATACCAGCGTGTCACCGTCAGACAGCATCTTCATAAGGTGCTTCTCAAACCATGTGGGCCACAGGTATTAGGTATGAGAGACAGAACTGTGGAATTATTTCATTCCAAAACCAAAAACAAAATAACACAAAACTGGCAAGCTTTCTTTCACTGCATTTGAACCTTTGCTAGACACTATTGTTACATCCTGAAAATAGTTTTCTAATTTAACTCTTAACTGAACATATATAGTACATCTGCAGCTCTACTTGAAGAAATAAGAATTGGACCAAATCGGCTACGAAAACAAGTCACTTACAATAAAAAGCAAAGCAACTACCATCATAATGAAAAGATACCTTTATAAGGGTGATCAAAACAAGATGAAATTCTATAGTCTGGGCTTACTGGGTTCATGAGCCCTAGTAGTTCCTAAACTCTGTTACTTCTTCATATACCTCCTCTCCTCACAGCCAGCTTTGGACTCCCAGCTGGTGTCTAGGTAATAACCTCGGTGTACCCACAGCCACAGTCAGTGGTATATCCTGTGGTCACTACTTTCTGATACGATACTTGAATGGCTGTATAGGATCAAAATTAGGAACCTGCCCAAACCTCGAAGTATATATGGTTTTTAGGCCCAAGTCAATGGGGTTACCTTTATCTAAAGAAGCAAAGAAATGAACCCACCTTAATAACAAATGCCAGGGGCAAAAATATAGCTTATCTAACTTATAAAATGAAACATCACCTGTCAATCCCATCCCAAGTATAAAAGGTATTATGCCATCTTAGGCTCTGTTTTAAACCCCTGGGGCAGACCTATGGTCAACAGCTTATACAGACATTTGATATCATATATCAAGTAATCTGAAAGCCTTTTTCTTCCATGGTTCTTCTATGACTACAAAAATATACATTTATATCAATATTATTTCAGTCAAAAAGTGATACATTTTGTACTGTCTACTAGATTATTGGGTATTACACTAGCTATGCATTAGATTACAGGGGTGGGCAAACTTTTTGACTCGAGGGCCACAATGGGTTCTTAAACTGGACCGCAGGGCTGAAACAAAAGCATGGATGGAGTGTTTGTGTGAACTAATATAAATTCAAAGTAAACAACATTACATAAAAGGGTACGGTCTTTTTTTTTTTTTTTTTAGTTTTATTCATTTCAAATGGGCCGGATCCAGCCCGCGGGCCGTAGTTTGCCCACGGCTGCATTAGGATCACCAGAAATAAGCTTTTAAAGAAAGAATTTCTGATTTATTCCTCATCATTACTCCCTAACCATCAAGATTTTAATCTAGCAGGTTTGGAAGGTACATAGATCTTTTTACACTAATTCTGATGTGCAGCTAGGTTTGAAAACAGTTGTAATTGATCAATAAGAATTTAACTAGGTGGTTTTGAGCATGCATTAGAATCACCAGGACAACATTAAAAAATGCACAGATTGCTGGGCCTCACCTCTGCAGTTTCTGATTTAAAGAGATTTGGGGAAGGGGACCTGAGAGTTTGTATTTCTAACATGTTCTGAGCCATAGTGATGCCACTGGTCTCTGAGAACCACTGAAGTAGGGAATAGAAAGAAGTGGTGCTAAGGCCTCAAGAAAGAAGCCTACATAATGTCTGTTTGCCAGAGGGAGGACTGTAGCCCCTTTCTTGCTGTTGCTAAACACATTCTCTAGACTGGAGTCTTGGGTGTTCCCATCTGAGAACTCTAGGGCTCTGAGAAGAGGCTTTCTGTTCCTAGCAGATAGCTGAGTTTCATAAGCCCCTTGGTATAATTCCATAAAGTTGCAATCAATGAATTGAGTTTCTACAAATTAAAGTCTTCACTTATTTATTTTCTTTTGTCTGAGAAGTGTGTACATTGCACACATATTTGTAGACTATGAAAAATAAAGCTTAGTGAAAATTGAGATGTACCTGTAGAAAGACCATTTTAGCAGAAACTGCCTGGCGGCTTTTGGAAAACTGGGCCTCCCTTCGTAGGGTTTCAGGGCTTGCATCATCACGTTGTCCAGCCATGCGGCCCACTGCTCCAGGGTGCTCTGCTGCTGGAGAGTCATCTTGAAGTCTGTTTCTAGTCTCTGAACCATGTTGTCATCACACTGGCACACCCAGGAAGCCTGCTCCTGGGACAGTACACACAAAGCAAAAGAAAAGTTCAACACAATATCTTTTCATTGAATGGCAGCACACAAACCATATGCACGAATGGGAAATTATTTAAATGAATTAAGAGAATGAATGACTACTTACCTGTCAGTTGTTAAGGAAACTAACATCGCCTATGTGCGTGAAAAAGGGATGTGACATAAAAGCAAGACTTGGCTTTTCTACATGACCTATTCTGTATGGAAGACAACCACCTATAACTGAAGAACAATTGAAGCCTGAACCTACAGGATGCAAGGTCTTTCACTCTATTCAGTTTTTATGCTGCCTTCCAAAGTGCTCTTCCCCCCCCCCCCCCCGCTACCAATCAAATAAAATTTTAAAGCCAATTCATCTGAGAAGATGTAAGCAGTGGTTCTCGACTTTCCTGATGCCGCGACCCTTTAATACAGTTCCTCATGTTGTGGTGACCCCCAACCATAAAATTATTTTCGTTGCTACTTCATAACTGTAATTTTGCTATTGTTATGAATCATAATGTAAATATCTGATATGCAGGATATATTTTCATTGTTCGCAGCCCATGGTTGAGAACCGCTGATAGAGTAACTCAGGTGGACAGATTCGATTGGCCGAAAGTGATCTTTAGGATGAAAACAGAAACAAACACTGAATAGTACTGGGTAGAAGCATGTGCTGTCTGAGTTTTATAAATGGGAAGCCAATCTCCAGGGCGGTCAAGGCAAGGCTATGAATGCAAATTAATCTACAGAACTGAGAACAACAACAAAAATACTTCTGAGAAAATGTGGATATGCTCACTGCCAAGAAACAAACTCCTACAGCTTTCCTTCTGGTTATAACTGGGAAGTTTCATGTTTGGTGAGAGCAATGAAAACAGGAACTTTTAAGGTTACTTTTCAGTGGTTACTATAAGTTCTGTAATGTTTCCAATGCCTTTTAAGATTACTAAAAGCACGTATATTCTCATGGTCAGAGTATAATTATTTCATAATTTAATAATCGACTAAGAGAAAGATGACATGGATTTTATGTAGGGCCTGAATTGACTAAACTGAACTCAAGCAATTCATTCAATTTCAGTGGCCTCATTTCCCCCAAACATACAATTAGAGAAATGAAATATGACAGTAATTTTTAAGGTGGGTTCATGGGTCCAGATAATATTTTCAAGATAGGTTTTTGTGGAGGGGAAACTGTAAAGGTCCTAATTCTATACCTAAAAATTGTGAATATGTGTGTATTCTTCTATAAAGTGTGTCTATAGCTTTCATTCTACCTACTCTCAAAGGACAAGTTCATTCAAATCAACAATTTCAACTAAATAAATCCCTAATCTGACTGACTGGTTCCACCGTTGCTCCTGATCCTATAAACTTCACCTATTCAAGAGACATTTCAACTGGGAGGTGCTTCAGAGACAAAATGCCAAACTTCATTCACCTTATTTCCCCAGGGAAATCTATAGTTTCTTCTATATTTCCAGCTGATGATACCATCTACTACCTTTCTTTGTCTTATGTTGAAACGGACAGACTATTAAAAGCTAAAGGTAGGGCTCATTCTGTTACCCAGATGGGACGCATTTGGGAGCAGGCCAGCCCAGGCTGATTCTATTCCCTGAGCTCCCTGCTTTCCACCACTGAAAGTGGCCCTGGTCTGAGGCTTCCTTGGCCGCTGTAATCCTGTTCACCACTCCCAGGAGTCACCAGGCCCAAACCTTTAGGGAGGGAATCCCATCTAGGTCACAGGAGGGCCCTAGGATTGCAGCTTCTGGGACAGACATATAAATGCTCTAACCAGCTGCCCTGGGCAGACAACTATCATTCCGTGCCCACACATTCTCCAGTGGAGGCCTGTGGGTCATGTCCCCACGCGGCACGGGCTGGAGCAGGCATTTAATTAATGTCTAAACGTTTTTTTGTTGTGGTAAGATAACACATAAAATTTATCATCTTAACATTTTTTAGCATCTAGTATAGGAGTGTGAACTATATGTCCTTATTGTGCAATCTATCTTTAATATTTTTCATTTTGGAAAAAAATGAAACTTTATACTCATTCTAGGGGACATTATTTTTATGTGTTTGTGCACTGATAATTGAGAGGAGGAACTTATTGGTACTCCAGAAGGATTTCATTTAATTTCTTACTATAAATTCAAACTCACTAATTCCTTTAGTAGTTACTTTTTGCCACGAAAAATAATAATTTAAAACCAAACTTAGAGAAGTAACGTCACAGGACATTATTGTGGTTTTTCAAACTACTTTATAATGTATTTCATTTTGCTAGTCTCCAGACTGAAAATATAATAATGGTAGAGTATATTGTAAACATTCCCTTCGGAAAGGAATTTGGATATTTCAGTTCTATAGTCAGTAGTTTTAAAATTAGATTAAAAAAATCTTATTGTTGAAAGTATTACATGTGTCCTCTTATCCCCCATTGACCTCTTCTAGACTACCCCCACCTAGTGTCTGTGTCCATGGGTATATGCATATATGCATAGAAGCTCTTTGGTTGATATCTTCCCACTCACCCACCCACCCTCGCCTTGCCTCTGAGATTCCACAGCCTGTCCCATGCTTCTGAAATAAATATATGCAATAGTTAGGTTATTGGGTCAACCCACGGATACCTACTTAGTCCACAATGTAGATGGAAAACTATCATTTACACACAAAATATTAGAAAAATAACACCATTGTAATGCTATCAATTAAATAAAACAAAAAAACAATGATACTGCAATAGAAAAATTATCCTGAGAAAAAGAAGAATTAACTAGAGAATTATGAAGTGGTGAAAGATATATGACTATCTAGAAAGAAACTTTCTAATACGTTCAAGCTCTCAGAGTATGATAGTATTGACCCTTATATATGTAATTTCACTGAATTAAATTAAAGTTTCCTTATTAAAAGAGCATCACCCTTATATGGGTCAGTCTTACTGAGTTAACCTTGTAGGGGCAGGGCAACTTCCAAATGAAGAGGAGGGGGTGATAGAGGTGGAACGGTAGGCAATGGACTGGGAAAACCAGAACTGAGAAAATCAGGCAAAAGTTGGAGCAGAAAAGGAAAGAATGAAGGAAGTTAAAGATCGAATATGTTACCTGAAGAAAGAGATTACTCATTAAAATGAAAAGAGGTGTGAGACATAATATGTAGGGGGAAAGAAGGGTCTACCATTGTGTCCATGATCTTCTGAGGAAAAGCAAGATTATTTGGTGGATAAGTGTTTTGTTTTATTTTTTAAATATGTTTTTACTGGTTTTAGAGAGAGAAGAAGGATTAGGAGAGAGAGAAACATCGATGTGAGAGCAACAGTTCCATAGGCTGCCTCCTGTACGCCACCTACTGGGGATCCAGCCTGCCCTGGCTGGGAATGGAACCAGCAACCTTTCAGTGCACTGGATGGCGCCCAACGAGCGAGAAACCCAGCCAGAACAGAGGGTAGGTATTTAATCATACAGGTTTCAGTTATAATCATAACTGTCATGTGGGCAGAGGAAAACTTGGTAGTTGAAAACAGAGGAAGGGGAAAGGTAGCCTCAGAGCTGGTGGGTAGAGAATGAGTAATAGAGTAGATACATAATCGACCATTTATAAGCAAAGGTGTTCTCAAGGTTGTTGTTTATACCCTGAAAGAACTCATTTCTGTAAATACTTCATAGGATCGCAGGCATTACAAATACACATATAAAAATAATGTTAACAGGAAATTTAAAATCTCAGATATTATTGGGAATCATTCATTTATTTTCTGTGATTGAACTTAAATTACTTTTTGAAACTAGAAGTTGCCTAACTACTTCAACTGTTCTGAAGATGCTTTTAAAGGAAGACTTAAGAATGAATGAAGATTTGAAATAAACAATAGAGTATAAATTTTAAGGCAATATAAACTTCTAATAGTCGCACTGAAATTAGTTAACATAAATTCTATTGAAATATATATAAAGCTAATGGCTTTATAAACCAGAGAGTTTCGTCTGGTAAAGGTAATACATTTGCATGTGTGTATAAATTTATGTTTGTATATAGAGAAATTGATAAATATATAGAAAGATTAAAAAAAAACCTTTATATCCATTCGCCTGGCTGGTGTGGCTCAGATGGCTGGAGCATAGTCCAGGAGATAGCAGGTTTGATTCCTGGTCAGGGCACAGACCCAGGTTGTGGGTTCGATCCCAATCAGGGCACATGCAGGAGGCAACCAATAGATGTTTCTCTCTCTCATAGATGTTTTTCTCTCCCTCTCTCTCAAATTAATTTTTAAAAAAGTTAAAAAAACTTTATATACATCATAAGTTTGAGCCCAATTCATGAAAGTCAGAAAGAACAGCAAGATTACTATATCCTAAAATGAATGAAGCCCAGTATTACTTTTTGATATATTTTAAATGATAAAACCAGACCAGAACTGCATATTAAAATTTCTAGGAAATTGAGTAATTAATAGTTTGTTTTAAGCAATTATTTTAAACAGTTTTGAGATACAATTCATGTCATACAATGTCACTCATTTAAAGTATACAGTTCAATGGCTTTTATTATATGCACAGAATTGTGTATCCATCACTATAATCAATTTTAGAATGTTTTAATTTCTTCAAAAAGAAACCCCACACCGCTAATCTGTCATTTTCCAATGCCCAGTTACCAGATCTAGGCAACGACTAATCTACTTTACATATAAAGTAGATATATACAATATGTGGTCCTTTGTGTCTGACTTCTTTCACCTAGCATAATGTTTTTAAGGTTCATCCATATTATAGCATCTATCAGAACTTCATTTTGTCTTACTGCCCAATAATATTTCATGTGTTAAGATACCACATTTTGTTGACACATTCATTAGTTAATGGACGTTTGGGTTGCTTATACTTTGATGTAGCTAATATGAATAATGCTGCTATGGACATTCATGTACAAGTTTTTATGTGGACATGCTTTAATATCTTGTGGTATACACCTAAGAATAAACTGGTGAGTCACATAGTAACTCTATGTTCAAACTGCCAGGCTGTTTTCCAAAGTGGCTACAACATTTTAATTTTACATTTCAATCAGTAGTGTATGAGGGTTCCAATTTCTTCCCATCCTCACCAACACTTATGAGCTGTCTTTTTTATTATACCCGTTTTAGTCTGTGTGAAGTAGCATCTCAGTGTGGTTTTGATTTTCATCATTCTGGTAGATAATTATGCTGAATATCCTTTCAGGTGCTTACTGGCTATCTGTATATCTTTTTTGAGAAAAGTCTATTCAGATCTTTGCTCATTTTTAAACTAGATTTTCTTTTTATTATTGGGTTGAAATAGCTCTTTATATGATCCTAGATACAATTTTTATCAAATACATGATTTATAAAAATATTCTCAATTCTATGAGTTGCCATTTCATTGTCTTGATGGTCTCTCTTGAAGAACAAAAGCTTTTAAATTTTATTATGTTTAGTTTATGTATTTTTTATTTTATTATTTGTATTATTAGTGAGTAATGGCAGTTCTTATATGGCAACAATTAGCTTTATTACTTTAGTGTTTGAAGTGAACTAGATGTTGGAATTCCATAATAATATTCCTAAATTAGCGATTTTAGAGTAAAAGTGAGTAGTAATTTAAAGTAAAAGTGAGTAGTTTGATCACAAGTTTCAAATATATATTTTTTATATGGATGATCAAAATAGTCAAACATATTACACCTTATTCTTTTCAAATGAATAAATACTTAACAGACACCTATAGTAAACTCTGAAATAGGGTCATTCTGAGTTCTTTCAAAATGGGGCACTATTAAGAGCAAAAATCTCTTGTGTGTTACCATACAAAGGGTTTTGGATATTACTAAATATATAAACCACTAGAGGCCCGGTACAGAAAATTCATGTACTTGGGGGGTGGGGGGCCTCAGCCCAGATTGCGAGAGGGCACAGGCCAGGCCGAGGGACCCCAATGGTGCACAATCGGGCTGGGGAGGTATGTCAGAGGTTATCCAGCCGGGGAGGGACCGTGGGAAGGCTCCAGGGTGTGTCTGGCCCGTCTCGCTCAGTCCTGATTGGCTGGACCCCAGCAGCAAGCTAACCTACCGGTCGGAGCATCGCTCCTTGACGGTCAGTGCATGTCATAACAACTGGTTGACCGGTCGACTGTCTGCCCCCTAGTGGTCAGTGCACGTCATAGCGAGCAATTGAGTGGCCTTAGCATATCATTAGCATATTACGCTTTGATTGGCTGAATGGCTGACGGGACACTTAGCATATTAGGCTTTTATTATATAGCACAACGTAAGATAGGTGTTATAAAGTGGGGAAAGTAAAACCCAGAGCAGTTAAGTAAATTGCCCAAGATCCCACAGCAAGGAGATGGAGTAACTTAACCTCTTGCCTATTTAATTTCAATGATTGTGATGGTCCTTAGCCCATTAACCATTCAGGAAACCCTGGTGACACAGGTTGCGTCTAATACTATAAATCTTAGTGGGCTTGAACCACAAAACGGAGGAGCAGTAAAGTCATAACTGAGTAAAACTCCCTTCTTTCGGGTGTTGTGAATAGAGATGCTGCCTGTGTATTGATGTAACTTTAAAAAGAAATATGATGATCCTAATTAAGAAAATTAAGTGTCTTCTCTTCAAAAACACACTTTGCAAGAACACAGAGTACCTGGACATTGGCAAAGTCAACACGGTTGAGGTCATTGAGCATCTGGTTAATCTGAGACGTGTTCTGAAGCACTGCACGAGCTGCCTGGGCCAGGTGATTGAGTGACGTGTATCTTCGCAGAGTCTGGGCAAAGGCACTTACAGCGGCAACCTGTACAGAACCAATTAAAATGGGATTCTTTTTTTCCTTCTAGTAACAGAAACCACTGCACATGCTCAAATCTTTATTCCCTTGCCAAATTTTAAATGCTTCCCTCTGATATTTATTTCACATTCATCTGGTGAGAGAGCTTACTTATGAATTACAGCACTGAAATCTCTAAACCAAGTATTATTTTCTTTTGAGTGGGTTGAGGTCAAGACTAAAACAAATTCCCACATTCTTTGACATCTGAGTGCAGAATTAATTAAACCAGTCTTACAAATAACTACTCATCCATGGCAAGAAATGACTTTCTCTGGGGAAGCAGGAAAAATATTGATTTTCTTTTTTTTTTCCTACTCTCGGTAGGACAGTCAACTATAAACTTGGCAAATAATTTTTTTTTAACTTGGAAAAGCAAACTAGCGTCCCATTTTTTAAAATGGATAAAAATGTATACTTTCCAGAGGAATGTCATTCATATTCACTCTTACTACCCTTTATTTTATAGAAATGGGTAATTTTGAGGTAAAACCAAAGAATTCATAGCCTTTATTAGCAACTTTGTAGCTAACAAACTTATCAGATACAGGCAACAAAAACTCTTTTCCAGAATATAAATTTCTGTAAAAGGGTTAGTCAGGAAATCTCCATTTGCCCTTCAAAATCTATTTCCCATCCTTATTGATGCTGCTCTGTGCTCAGGAAGATTGTCCTGAATGTACTTTAGTAACCACCTCCCTTACACTATGGCTTCCATTTGGCTTCCAATGATGGGCACTGGCAAAAGACTGAAGGATGGGAATAGAGTCATTAAGTATTTATTCCCACGCAATTTCTGTTCTCTCTCTGTTTTGGCAGAGCCTGTTTTCTGTTTCTATGACCACAGTTCTGTAGCAAGAAGCGTATCTTAATGCCACGACTTTCACCTCTTTC